AAAGTAGGTCAATTCTGCATGCGAAGCAAGCCCGGTAGTATGCATCCTTAGATGTATCATCCATGCAAGTTTGGTTAACATAGGGCTTATAGTTACTTGGAAATGAAACCTACACCTAAAACTGCACCAAAAATGTTAACCTGCTCCAAAAACATTAACCTGGTCATTCCTTTGCTAAAATTGCAGCATCTGAAACTTTGACTGGTACAATGAAACACACTGGAACCATCTTCCATGCATGTCTAATCAATATAGGACATAGAAGTACTTAAAAAGAAAACTGCTCCAAAAAACTTAACCTTAAAAATTTAGACAAAACGCCGACACCGACACCGACGCCGACGCCGAGGGTATTACATAAGCTCCCCCAACTTCGTTGAGGTGAGCTAAAAATGGATAAAGAGTCTCTGCATGCCTTCAATATGATTAAAACTAAAGTTTTTAGACATTCTATTTGCATGACCCTACATTATTAGACTTTTACTATATAATGCCTAGATCATCTGTTTACATGCATGTGCAGCATACAGACATTGGGTGCAAGAAAATCTTGTGCTTGCATTATGATACAAATTACAAGACAATGTACAACTCTTGTCTCCTTCTGAACTATATGTCATGCTTCATAGCTTGTGTAAATGGAATCAGCGCATACATTATCAAAGATCCTTAATAATCGTATTTCGTCTAACTTATCCCCCCTTTTAAACACAAAGCCAATGAACTTGATCTTCTTACTTCAGGCTTTGATACAAAGATACACTAAATAGTAAAAATTTTAAAGCATAATTGCACAGACAATATCAATAGAAAAGATTAGATTCTGTAGGGTTTTAATATATATTTACTTTTCATGGTGGGTAGATTTATATAATGGCCTACTTAGAACTTTAAACAGAGGAAGAGTTTTATGTATAACAATGAACAGTGTGCTTATCAGGAAAACATGAATACATTTTCAAGTTTACAATACAAAAAGTTGCTGGCCTGCAGGGAAATAAATGGAGTAATTATATGGTAAATATTACAAATCAACAGGAAACTTGTTTGTTAAGTAACCAGATAAATGTAAAAACTAAACAGGAAACTTCTATGAAAAGTAACCAGAACAGTTATCATAAATCAAGGTAGATATATAGATTACATTGCTATGCACATGTTGGGGAAAAAGTACTTAAAATTAATTCAACTCATGAACACTAGTCACTACATGTAGACCATTATAAAGCACCATCTGACATAATTCACAGTTTTATGAAGTATATTAAAATACCAGACAAACTAGACCAATTATGCCGGCGGATACATTTCTCTGAATAAATTTAAACTGATATGGATATCACCAAAAATTGATACCATTATATCTGCATATTACCTCAAGCATTACAAAACCTATCTCATGGTGTCTCAAATTTACTTACCATTACAATAAAAGTTAAGGTGTAAATTCCTGGTGTTTGTATAAATATATCTAACAAGCTAACTCCCCCTATAAATGATCGCAAACACTGGTGACTGAGTTTCCTGTTAAATCAGTGTGTTATATCCTGCCCTCTATCTACTTCAACTTCACAAGCTATTATAACTGAATGGCAGCGAAAATCCACTACACAAAATATCTGACACAATGAATTCATGTCTGATTTAAACAAAAATTGCTGAAATATTTATTCCACCTACCTAATGTGTAATTAAACCAGTTGTTGCAAGAATACCTCAGAAGATCCTCAATTTTTTCCGAGAGATTTGTTCTAATTTTTATGTCAACTTTTTTGTGATTAAAAAATGGTTTTCTGTTGGAGAAAGATTATTTTTCTCTACACATTTTATTCTTTCAGACATTCCAGAGATTAAATATCTATCATGAAGACTGCTATATTGTGTTGTGAGTGCAGTAAAAATAAATAATATTTATGTATTCTTATGCTTATAGGCAAGCTCACCGCAGCTTTTTTTGCTAATTTTGTACAAGTCAAATAAAACACTTTTCATAGAGATGAATAATGTCATTTATTAAAATGACGGTATAAATGTGAACAATTTAACAAACAAGAAGGGGATCAGATTCTGAAAATATTGTAATAGCTATCCTATGTTGAATTGCTATATTTAATTGATTATTGTAAGGAAAAATGTACCTTCAGTTAATTTATAATTATCTTCACTGTAAGATATAAAAGTCAGATGCACTAGGAAACATGATCGAGGAAATGCAATACTTAATCAAACATTGTTATACTCTCTGATCAGCTGCTATTAAGACTTGGCCAGGGTATAGAAAAAATGTATGAACAGTTCAAAAGTATTTAATCCATTAACATTTATTCACAAACAAGAAATTTCTATGGGTTTTTGCAACTTCCATTTATTCACAAATATTTCTTGCATTCCAATTATTCGCTTATATACCATATTAAATTTTATGTAAAATTTTGTCTCGGTTGCGAAAATAAGATATTTTGAATGGATTCTAAACTAAAGAATCAATTAAGAGTAAAATATTTCGCAAATAATAGTTGGTCAGTGGTTTACAGTAATTGATGGACAAATTCTTGTGAAAAGTTACGTCAAGTATTGTACATGAATTATTAAAATATGTCCACAACACCATTAATTTAAACTCTTTAAATTAATAGTCTTACACAGACATAAGAATAACATCTCAAACAAACAGTTGACTTGACATTCAATTTCAATCATACTTTTTTGAAGTTATGACAATACTCAAGAACCTATAAGCATCTTTTTTTCTTTTATAATCTGCCCTATTAGGAGAGAATAAGTCTTCCACACAAGATAAAAAATGCAATGACCTTATTTTATTTCAGAGAAAAGTATTAATTCACAGTCACCATTCACAGCACTGCTAACTCCTTTCCCACAAATATTTGTTGGTCAAGGAAACTTTTTTCACATCACACCCTTCACACAAGGATATATAGTTACATGTACTTGGCACTCAGACACTTAGCTTAAAGGGGAGAAGCAAGGATCTCTTCTGGCCCTGAATCTATCAGAGAAAAATTAATTGCAAACTTTTTAGACCGAATCTTATTGGACTAGTAGTATAGTATTATACATGTAGTATACTCAGGAGAGTAAATTCAGAAAAGTTTTGCAGCAGAGTAAATGTTTCAATTTCCGTATACTAATGAGGGTTAAATCCATAAACTTTAATACATATCATTACACTTTATACTATATACAATTTTAGCTTTAAAATTTAGAGCGCATGTTTATTACAATATAAATTTCATTGATATTATTATTCTACACATTATATCAAAATTTTGATCCTGAACACACTGCGGTTATAACAAAGTCACTGGGACCTGTGAAATTACTTTGCTATATGCATAATTCATAATATTCATATAAGGAATTTGTAAAATTTATACACATGAAGTTTGGGATCCAAGATCATAACTTCGCTATATCTGTGAATTCGTAATATATCATATGTGATCATACGAAAGAAGTTTGGTTGTATGATTTTAGTATTTTTTTCATCTTTTGCAATCTTGTTTTAAAATGTACCATTACGAAAGGAAATTGCCATGTTTAATATCCATGACATAATAAATCTCAAGGACATTTATAGCTGAGCCTGCACACATGCAGCACAAATTAAAAGTAGATAAAAATAGATAAATAACATGGGCTTCCTTGTTACCATGGTGTATTTATGTATCATTTAAATTTCCTTATTCCTTAGTTTTACGCAATTATAATAATACTGCCTAGCTCTACACCCTGTCGATACAAATGGCAGGGTAGCTGATCCCTGCTTCAAGCAAGGATATGGTATTTTCATCAACATATCCTTTAATTCGATCTTTAAATAATAATTTCTAGTTGTATTGGAATCATGCTAAGAATTTTTCTGTAATGGTACTGAGGAAATAAATGCAGCAGACCAGACCGGGATTTGAACCAGGGCCCCCTGAATCTCTGGTCAGGTGTTCTATCAACTGAGCTATCCAGCGAGCCACTGGCAATCAAACCTGGCTGACCACCACATTCCTCCCTTCTTCAAGGTCTTTGGTCCCTCAAACCCCAACCCAGGCTCATCCCTGGCAGGCCTCTCGCCTGTCAGCTCCAGGGCATGGTACAGCACCAAATGTAACGGGAGAGGAGAGAAATTTAATATGCAGCGGACCAGACTCACTGGAATTAGAACCCAGGCCCCCTGAATCTCCGGTCAGGTGCTCTACCAACTGAGCTATCTGGCCACTGGTGATTGAACCCAACTGACCACCACTTTTCCATTAAATATTGAAATATGATTCACATTTGTTGCTTAAAAATTTATCGTATACATGGTGATTAGCTTAAAACTAAAATACACATAATTGTATTTATTTTGTCATCACAAATCTAGTTAATTTATCTTGTACTCCAGGGTTTGATATATATACATTGTATAATACAGCATCATGTTGACTGTGATTATGGTAATTATGTCATATTATCAGTATATCACTCATAAACATATACACACTGCAATGCCTGTCTGTACTACTATAGTACTGTACTGACTGTATAATGTTTTAAAGTAAACTGCTAAATTGAATAAGAGACCTTATTGCCACTCAGAATCCGGATGTTCAACATCTGTGGTTGTAACAAAGGCTAAACTCTTCACAAGGAAACAAAATAGGGAGAGAGAAACCACTTAGTCAGTTAGTGTTAGACTGTTAGATTTGTTGTAAAACTCAAAATGAGAAGATAAAACATTTCATAAGCTTTAAAATTACATTAATTCTGAACTCTTACACAGACTTGACACAAATAAGACTTACAGTACCATTAGGCCTTACCATCAGACCATAGTATGCATATAAACACGATAGATTTTAAAATGAAAGCAGTACGTACTCTCCCTTGTGAAGTGGGCGACAGAAAACAACTAGGCCCAACTTCCTGTAGTGAAGATTGTAAACAAGTCAACTTTTTAAAAGTTGATAAACTTTTTAAAATTCTTCCTTTTCTATACTTACTTGTGATCTATGGAAGATGACAAAATAATCTGAAGCTCCTATGACATTAATAACACGGGCACCTGCTAACTTATCCTAGTTGAACGACCATACACAGTCCATGACGTCACACAGGCGGATATGCATGATCCGGAAGGACTTTCTTAAAATTTTGTCAACAGTTGTATTTGGCGACAAATTCAAAGTCATTAAACCTTAGACCTTTAAAACAATAACTTAAAACGATTTATTCATACAAACATCTCTAATTGTACATTTACTTTCATTCACTCTTTCCTCCCGTAAGAGATTGCACAAATACATGTATTAATTTGATAAATATTCAGGAACATTACAAAGAAATAAATATAAATATAGATCTATATAAATACATATTTTAAACATAAAAAAGAATATTATGTGTACATTAAATTACAACAGTAATTACACAATGGACGATAGTTACTTATATATGTATTACTTTAATTATTTAAAGAAAAAAATCAGGCTAGAAGAATATTTGGAGTTACCCCGCATTGGCAACATGCAGTGTCAGTAAAACAAAGTTCTAGTTCTCATTTCAAAATGTGATTAAGTTCGCTTTAAAAAAACACAGAACAACATTATGTAAATGAAAATAAGTATCACAGTATATTTTTTTTTTCTGTAGAATGTACGTTATATCTAATCCAATGTTCTAAACGACTCTTCACACTGTTAGGCAATTAAATAAAATAGACGTTCCTCTTTGATCATGGTCACAGGAACCGGTGGCAAAGTGGGCGTTCCACAATAATTTTGCCACATGCAGTAAACAAAAAACAAACAAACTATTTCTCATTCTTATTCCTCTACCCCATAATAACGTCTGATAATCTGATATATGGTACGTCCTGTTTTGGCTTTATCAACGAAGTTCTGTTTGGCAACCCATCCTCAAATGCCGCCACCCCACGCCAAACTGATCTTACCATGAAATTATGAACCTGTAGATATATAAATGTACCTTGGAATAAATACTCCCTACTATATAGTTGTGTAGTTTGGGGAAGTAATACTGCTATCTAGAGACGTTTTAGAAGTACTGCAATGTTCAGTTGAAGTTTACGAAATTTGTTTGTTGTTTAACGTCCCTCTCGAGAATTTTTCACTCATATGGAGACGCCGCCACTTGCCGATGAAGAGCTACAAATTTTGTCCTTTACTTGGCATTTAGGGCCATTGAGCAGTGAGGAATCTTTATCATGCCAGCACCTACTGCGACACGGGACCTCCGTTTATACAGTCTCATTCGAAGGACAGATCACCACGTCCCATGCAGTGGGACTCGAATTTTTTTAATCCGCGACATAAGGATCAACTCCTTACTTCACGACTCTAGAGCAGACGCTCTAACCACTGCGCCACACTGGCGAATAAATCTGCAGAGATGTTAGGAAAATTCTAACTTTATAATTCTAGCGTATTTAGAAAAAAAGACGTTTCGCGTACTTACGAAAATCATTCGATTTCATGGTTCAAGGTATGTGTAGTGAAAATTGTATAATCGAGAATCCGTATATGTTTATACGACAACTGTATGACAGAATTTAAAAATTAACGACCTTTAGTATAAAAATTAATTACAAGTATATGAAATGGATCTGCGTGAAACAACATTCTCAGTATTGTACCTCCTTTGTAGGCCTAAAGGTTTTTTTTATACAAAAATTAAGTCGGTCAAATCAGGCCATCAGTTAATCCCACAATCTTGAAATTTAAACAGGAAGGTTATTAATTATTCATTTTTCATCAGTAAGAGCTTATAATTTTGCATGGCGCAGTGGTTAGAGCGTCTGCTCTTGAGTCGTGGAATAAGGAGTTGATCCTTACGTCGCGGGTTCGAATCCCACTGTGGCGACGCCGGTGTAACGACGAAAAATGACTCCCGTAGAATATTGACTAGGAGGTCATTTTTCTACGTAGAAATATGACACAGGGGCAGTATTCTACGACATGTAGGGTCATTTTTTCGACCGTAGAAAAACATTCCAAACCAGTAATTCTACGACTTCACACACGTTGAAAAATGACCCCCATAGAAATTTGACCCCCTACTTTTTTTTTATACAATAAAACCTTATTGTATGTGTCGCCTGATATTTTTTTTTTATACATGTAATTTCAAATGTAAGGAGTGGAAATTTTTTTATGTACTTAACTACTTTACTCCTTTCCAACATATATTTGATTTCATATTTTATATTTTTTTGTCCTGCAGAATCCCATGAATATTAATTCATCGAGGAGCATAAATTCATGAATATATTTTTTGGATGTTTTTTTTTTATCATTGAAAGGTTTTATTCCGAAAATGGCACGATATTTTCATGATAACCGTAAAATTGTATGGAGGCCTCTGAAATTAGCACTTTTAATCATTTGAATTCATTTGTAAAAATCCAAAAACATAGCTTATAGAAGCCAAAAAAGAGCAATTTAATTATTGTAAAATGTAAAATTCAAATCCCTTGGCGCTTACATTTAAACTTACATATATCTGTATGCATTCTGCTTTAAAATACATATTCTTAACTACATTATGGAAGTAGATATGGAGATGACGAACAGAATTCAATATCAAAGTCAATAAAATAACACATAATAGGAGCAGAGCAAACAAGGATCTCCGAAACGTCAGAGGTGGGATCAGGTGCCATGGAGGAGTGAGCTTCCTCTGCTGACCGGTCACAACAGCCGTGTGCTCCTTGTCATGATCGAGAAATAACGGAAAAATGTGTCGTCAATTCAGTGTATAAATAAAGGACTAACAATTAGCATAAAAAACGTCAGATAGCATTTGACTCAGTGATAAAATATATTTGCTGACAAGCAAATTGTCACATAATGTTTTCAAAAATGTTGGCAAAAATTCTAAATTTTGATCTGAGTGAATAATATTTCACAGATATCTATAAATTCAGTAAAAAAAAACTTCCTTTTTCAACACTTTTTAGCTCACAGACACCTGACAAATAGTTGCTGTAACATCCTCTTTCTTCTGAGATTTTCTTAGACACTAACTTTGCAATCACAATTGAACGCTTAGTCTATCAGGCCTTTTCCCAGCACATGCTGTCCAAAAGTTAAGGCCAAAGTAAAAGTTTTTCCATGGTGGAATTTTTGTGTAAAAGTGTTTCAAACTCCAATGTCAAAAGGTCAAAAGTGGTTGTATCCAAAGAAAGAGCTTGTCACAAACAAGAGGCCCACGGGCCTTATGGGTCACCTGAGTGTCACGTAACAACTTTTCCATAATCTAATTGCTTCGTGTTTTAAACAAGAGGCCATGAAATTCACTATTTTGAAAGAGACACCATTGCTTATCATAACTACTACACTTTGCTTGCTTACGTTTGTTCATTTATACCCAGAGGTAGATCAGAACAACAGAAATAAAAAAGCATTTCCACTTTATAACCAGTTGTGCACCCTATCCAACAGGAACCACTGACCCTGGGGGCACATATTTCAAAATTCTGGGAATTTTATCATAAACTGTATTTCATTATAAATGGTTGATTAATACCAAAGAGCAGATTTCAAAGCATTAATTAATTTTAGACTATGTAACCCCATCCACATCCCAAGTACCCCTGACCCAGGGGCCCTAGCTGAAATTTATTTACTTTGGAAAAGGCACCTTTCATCATCATTAATATGTATTTAGATCACTGGCATAATACCAAGAAGCAAAGGAAAAGATTTTCAAAGAATTCAGGCATTTTCACTATAATATAGTTTTTGCGGACAAACAGACAGACGGATGGACAGGTAAAAACAATATACCCTCCCCGAAACTTCGTTTAAGGGGCATAAATGTAATATGTAAACTGACAACTTTTTCATAATCCAACATTTGTTTTTTTTTTCGATTGGTAAAACCATCATATTTAAGTACTTGAAAAAAGTGGAAAAACGATACTACATGTGCCAATTTTTGGTATGATGAAAACTTCTTTTTTAGTTAATCATTTTTATGGTACAACCTCAATTTTGTTAAGGTTTTTTTGACACAAGCAAAAGAAATTTAAAGGTTTTGAGCAAACAAACTTTTTGTTTCCCTGGTATCATAGGTCAGAGGCAATTGAATTTAGTATTTATTTTTACAATTTAAACCATCCCTACTTTTTATGAGAAGTTTGAAACTTCATTCATAGAAAACCATTTTTTTTTTCTCTAAATAATGAACATCAACACTAAATCAGATTAACCCATCACTTTAATTTGTATTTATAAAAATTGAAGATTTACGGTAATCGACCTTGGAGGCATGATCAGCACGGATAGGAATTTTGGGGTGCTAAATGTACAAGCTCAATTTTCTAAAGCCACAAGAGCGTATCTTGCATTACGAAACATCTGGAGGTAAGCAAGGATCAGCATTAATACCAAAATAAGGTTTTTCAGGTGTAATGGGCTTGGGGTCATCCTGTATAGTGCTGAATCGTGTAAAAAAAGCCATTTCAAACAAGCCAGATGCATTGCAGACACGTTCCTTTGCCGAGTACTATACGTATTTTCTGGCCCAATACCATCTCAGGATAGGTCACATATATAGAATGCACCCAGCCTCGATCCATCCCATGCAATGGATGCATTGAGATGGACTCTGGTAAGAGTTAGAGAGTAAAAACAAAAGAGATCTGGAGAAGATTGGTGGAAAAAGGAATGAAAGAGAATAGCTAGGCATTGGAACAGGTCAAGAGTTGGGCACAGGACCAACATTGAAGTCTCGAGTGACGGCCTTATTTGCTGATCAGCACGAAGAGGACTAAATAAAGCTAAGTAGAATAGGATGGATAAAAATTTTACCTGTAGATTTAAGTAGTGAGGGTAATTTAGTACATAGTTTTGGCAACTTTGTTAATCAATTTAATAATTCTCCACTATTCATCACAGTTTTGTAAAAAATATTAATAAAAAAAATCATTGTGATTTAATGTATACATATACTTTTATTTCCTTTCTAGAATGAGTAAATTGGCCAGCAATTTTCCTTTGCTTTTCATTATAAAAGTGCATTGCTGAAAAAATTAGTATAATTCTAATGTCCATGTCAAGACTAGTACAATAAAATAATGCATACAAATCATTTCCTTTCAAAATCCACTGTTTTATATTTGTTATAGTACAAATTACATCGAAGTCCTTGCTATTAAATATCAACAGGTTTTCCCAGCTGTTCTCAAACTGATAATTAAAAACCCCACTTTTCAAATTGAACAATTGAAAGATTATACTTTGACTTAAATTGACATTTTAAATTTAAATGTATTAGTTATTTTAATTTTAATTTAAATTTTCTTATCTTGAAATGGCAAGTTCTCAATGAACTGATAATCTTTCTCGTGTGCATTATTTTTAAAGACACATTTTCCTGTCTGATGAATTGCAACATTATGATGCAGATCGAAACCAGAAATAACGAAAATCCACACATTCCGTGAGAAAAGGTAAGAGTTTTGAACTTTTCCCAAACAGGTAAATTGTAGACAAACTGCACGCTTGTATTTTTTTAAAAAACTATTTGCACATGTATATACTTCATCAAGTCCAGTTGAAGTGGTATGGTTTCTTTCTTTCTTTTTCTTTTCTTTTTTTGTCAATCATGTTTTCCCTACTTTTAAGCAGACAACGAAAGCGTGTTTATATGAATAAGAATTTTGAGTTAAATATAGATTTTGTAATCTCAAAAGTTTTTTGTATATAAAAATAAGGATAAACATGATTCATGCAGTGCTAAGTTGAGTCATGATTTAAGGAGGGATTCGATCTTGTCTAGTTCTGACTGAATCAAATATTTGTTTATATGTCATGTGTTTAAATAACAATAGTGCACAAATCTGAATAGAAATTTTAAACCGATTTTGAAATTTTGTAGGGATTATATATATTTTTTTTTGTGAAACTGCGGCGTATGAAGATATCTCTTATATTCTACTCCTTTAAAATAAGACTGAAAATCTCTTATATACACTCAAAGACATTGGGAACATTTCTTCGGATATAATTGAAATTGATAACAATATATATACAGTACTGAAGCTTTAAACTATAGAGAAAAAATGATTTTCACAACAAACTTTTTACTGTAAGCTTTTGAAAGCTTCCAATCTAAGGACATATTTGAGCATAACAAAAAGATAAAAGTTGTTTGTTCTCTCTTATACTCAATGGTCAAAATCATTTTGTATCTGTAAATTACTGCACCATATGTGAAAATAAGAAATAAGAAAATAAGAAAATTAGAAATATACGAAGCATATTTAAAAAATTAGTACCCTAAGAATTTAAGAAAAATTGAAGAAAAATCGGACCATGCAGCCAAAACCTGCTTTTGTTAACATATTTATCTTAACTTAGTAGCATCATCTCGGAGACCCTTTTTAATGATTTTTTTTCATTCAAACACAAGAACATTTATTCTAAATTTTGAGTAAAAAATAATTTTGCTCTAAAAGCAAAAACAGGAAAGTAAACGGAAGTTAAGAACATTGTTTTTTTTAGATGCGAACGAGAATGGAGTTATGAAGGTGATATACTTATCAATAATTTATAAATTACATCACAAATGAAATAACATTAAACATTGAGCATAAAATGACATTACGGGCTTATAATTCTTTTGCAGGATTATGGTGGTGAAAAGTGAGTACTGTATTTTTATTTGAATGATTTTATTTAATGGAAAACTCTGTATCCCATCCATAAAAAAATCTATAAAATACTAGCAATCATATAGACATTAAGAGAACAAAGACATCGAAAAGCGGACCCCCCCCCCCCCCCGCAATATAGCATATAGAAGAAAAAAAATATTTCCGTTACGAACATAAGGACACCCCCTTCCCCCTCCAAGACCCATCAAACTCTGCTGCAAGGGGATAATTGTAGAGATGACTTTTAATCAAGAAACACGGTATAATTTTGAATTCTTATTAATCCAGAGGGTGTGTATTTCCATGTATATTAATGGCCTCTTTAAATAGAAAGACACGTATCATTGATAATTTGTTTGTGCGAATCCTAATACTGAGTAAACAATATATAAAGTCTGAGTTTTATATGAATTTCGTTTAGAGAACGTGTACCATGTGAAAATTAACTAGGGGTATTAGTAACATTTGAGGCTTTATGCTATTTAATTGGCTTAAAGTGCCGATATAGCCTGTCTGACTTCAACAACAAAGAGTATTCCACATTTTTAGTCCGGAACAAAGATTTTCTTTCCAAAAAAAAAAAAATAGTCACGTCTGCATCTTGGAACTAAATAATAAGGTAAATGCAACCATTCCAGCAACAGATGAATATGCCATAACTGGCGCAATGAAGGTAACATTAACATATATGTATAATTTCTAAGGATTTTGTAATTTCAAAAAAAAATTATAAAAATAAATTTAATGCTTTTTAGGTATCCCTATTTTCTGCATTCGATATTTTCTATCGTCAAACTAGGGAAAATCATGTGGCAAACTAAATCTGCTCACAAACTCATTTCGCTTAGTTGCCAAATCTGAAGAAAAATCTGTATTTCTGAATAGCTATTTTTATGTAAAAGTTGCGCTTTTGATGTAAGGATGAGGATTACACAACCATGACATAGCTATTTTTGTGTAAAATTTGTGCTTTTGATATAACGATTAGGATTACGCAACCATGGATTTGGCTGCACGAAATATTTTTAAAAACCTGAAAAACACCATAATTATCATGTTGAAAATTTTGACTGTAATTTTTCGAAACACTGAATTAGGCTACTGTTATTTACAGCTAAAGCATTGTCGTGCATATTGTTGTCCATTACATATTTGTTGTCGACATTTTCCACTTTCGCTGTAAGTCGCCCATTCTGAAGGGGAAAAAGTTCGTATATTGACGATGGTGTCAGGCAGATACATTTTGTCGACGGCTACAATATTAGGAGCCCGCCTTCTGGTCTTGCGCGTTCTGTGAGTGTGATAAATTTCATAAATTTAATATTTATAAATTTAACCACCCCCCTAATTTTTTTGACTTTGTTTGCTAAGAAAAATCAGAGGTATCTTTTAAATGTGACGCAGTTGATGGAGAGCCCTTCGGGCTTTGTGGTATTTAATCACATGACCAACCTGTATTTACATCATGATAAAAGTTTAAAACAATACATTATATCAAGGTGGCTGATTTATTACAGATAGTACGATACTTTAGTTTTTAAACCCATATGATGCATTTTTTCAAAACTCAACGGTAAAAATTGAAAAATGTGAACACGTCGATTACTGATGACGTCACTATGAAATAGTATACACTTATCCACTGGTTGAGAGTTGAATAGCTCTTTTATCAAACCCGCGACAGGGAACTATTCCCCGAGGGCTTGCCCGAGGGGAATAGTCCCTGTCAAGGGTTTAATAAAAGAGCTATCCCACTCACAAACAGGGGATAAGCGTTTTATTATACTGATGTATAATATTATTTCTGAGGTTTGAATTTTTTTTGTTCACGCATAGCAAAGCTATACCCCGGGGTATAGTTTTGCTATCCACCCTCAAAAAAATTTTCATGCAATTTTTGCCTCCAATTTTGATTTCCAGCGATAAATCTATTGACTGATGATGTCTTAATGACCTCAGTAGCATTGTGACGTCATATCAGGATTTCAGATTATTCTTGCAGTATATATATCTTACTCCAAAAATTCAAACCTCAGAAATTATATTATAAATCACTTTAATAAAACGCTTATCCACTGGTTGTGAGTGGTATAGCTCTTTTATCAAACCCTTGACAGGGACTATTCCCCTCGGGAAAGCCCTCGGGGAATAGTTCCCTGTCGCGGGTTTGATAAAAGAGCTATACCACCCACAACCAGTGGATAAGTGTATACAAAATCACAGTGGGTTATTTTTTATTAAAAGAAACACAAATAACGTCGGGTGTCTGTCTAAATAATCAATTTATGGTCACACGCATCTTCGCTAGCGAAGATGGGTCACACGACGAACTTGCTTTACTTAGGTATAAAATGCTATGCTTAAATATGTTATGTAAGGAATATCATTTGCAAAAGTAAATCATTATTATAGCCTATGTTTGCAAATAAGAAAGACCTTTACCACAGGTGTTTGAGTACCTACATGTATCAATTTTACCGAAATTTTCAGTAAATTAAAAAAATACGTAATACCTATAATAATACGTATTATTATTAAAGGTGTTACGTATTTTTTTTTTTTTTTTTATTATTATTTACTGAAAATTTCGGTAAAAAGATAGGTAGGCCTACGTGAACCTCTGTGCTTCTCTGGAGTCCTATTTCAATTGTTACGTGTTTTGGAATATTATGACGTCACAATGCTTATGACAATATTCAATTCTCTGTCAAAGTAATAATATTATAAGATGAGCTTTGTATATCGATTCATTCGACGCATAAAAAGAAAATATGGCTCAGTAACACCATTTGTATTACAGAAAATGAATTTGATTTCACAAATTCGGACCGAATTTGAAAGGCATTTAACAAGCATCGACACCTATGAAGTGGTTAAACAGGTATTGTATAAATAAATATTTTATATGTGTAAAAGCTAGAGAAAAAAATCCCTTATTATATTTTTCTTCATTCACTTATTTTTTTTTAAGAATGTGAATATGTGTATAGAAACATTTTTGGAACGCTTGTAAAAGGGCAACAAATACTGTTGTATTCACTGTTCCACAAATAAACTTATACAATACAAATGATTTTTATGCGCCCGGATCGAAAGATCCGAGGCGTATATTGTTTTTGTCCTGTCTGTCTGTCTGTTTGTCTTTTTATCTGTTTGTCTGCAAACTTTAACTTTCGCCATAACTTTTGAACCATGAATGATAAAGACTTCATATTTGGTATGCATACACCACTGATTAAGCTCTTTCACATGACTTTAAGGTCAATGACCTTGTGACCTTGACAGTGACCTATATGCTAAAAATATTTTTATCTGCAAATAACCTTCGCCATAACTTTTGAAACATAAAAGATAGAGACTCCATATTTGGAATGCATACACCACTGATTAAGTTCTTTTAAATGACACCAAGGTCAATGACCTTGTGACCTTGACTGACCTATATGCTAAATATAACTTTTTGTCGGCAAACCTTATCCTTTGCCATAACTTTTGAACGAAGAAAGATAGAGACTTAATATTTAGCATGCATACGCCACTGATTAAGCCCTTTCACATGACACTAAGGTCAATGACCTTGACTGTGACCTATATGCTAAATATATGTGTTTTTTTAACTTTGTTGCCACCGGGTGCATAGTGTTTCACAAACACATCTTTTTTTTATTAAGATGCAAATAAATGTTTTACAATCCAAATGGAAAATTATATAATACAAATGGAAATTAAACAATTCAAAAGGCAAATGAAAAATTATACAATACAAATGGAAAGAAGAAGGTACGATTTGGACTTTATTGTGCCCTTAAAATTTTGTTTCTCAGAAAGATATGAAATTGGCTATAACGTGAGTTGAGTAATTGAATATGATAAATCATTAAAGAAAATGGCATGAAGGAGGACCATTCTGGATATGACGTCATTTATTTGGTGCATTTTCAAGTTTTATGCAAAAAGCCTCAAAATGACTCATTTCTGTGCTAATTTTCCTTATGAATAGTACATGCCATGGTCGCCTACCTCAGTTTTTGGGATATATTTTTTTTTCAAGGATACTGAAATTTTTTCTATATAATGTATTGTCGAGGAATTTCTAACTATACTCGTAACATTTTTTTGCAGTAAACAGTGTTAATTTTTAGTTTTTTGTGAACCTTTCTGCTTCATATACATAGAATGTTGCGGAAATTCGATTTTAATATTAAAAATGACATATCCCACTGTATACTAAAAAGTTTCTTTTTAGTATACAGTGGGATATGTCATTTTTAAAGCGTGCAGAAAATGAATTTCCGATTTCACAAATTGTATAATTTGAAAGGCATTCTAGTGTATATGAAGCAGAAAAATCTTTTTAAAAAACTAAGAATTAACACTGCACACTGAAAAAAAATGTTACGAGTATAGTTCGAATTTCCTCGACAATACATTATATAGAAAAAATACAGTATCCTTGACCCAAGCGCCTATGGATATATTGTTTAAAATGCTCGGAAAAATCACAAATCTTAAAATCTTTGTGGGCGATGCATGCACTGTAGGTTTTCTAAAAGAAAATTCCACTGAAAATTGATGTCTTCTGCAACTTTAAAAGATACATGTAATACGGGAAAATGCACAAGTTCGTGACGTTCGAAAGGTTATTTCTTTATAAGTATCTTGATACGGATTGATATTCCCAAAATAAACCAGAAGTCTCTGTCGAGACTGAAGCTCTACTGGTTTGTACTTATAGCAAAGGAAGAGGAAAGTACTTAAGCAGTTGGGAATTGAAAATTTGCACAGGCAAAAAAGAGAATAATGATCCTTGAATAAGTCTCTTTATGTTCTTAGTGTAGTCTACTTGCAAGCCACATTATATTATAATCAGACTAAAACTGTATTTGAAGTAGCAAATTTGAGAGTAACAGAAATTGCTATCTTTATTAACCAAGGTAATAATGTTCATTGAAGTCAAAAACGGATATAAAGAATTATGTACCTTAGTGTAGTATACTTAAAGTGCCAAGTTATATTGAAATCATATCAAAACTGTAGGAGGAATAGCATTTTGAAAGAATTTCACAGAAATTTCTATTTTTGGTAACAACGCCAACACCGTTCGTCGAAATCAAAAACCGATACACAGAATTATGTATCTTAGTGTAGTCTACTTGTGTGCCAAGTTATATTGAAATCAGACTAAAACTGTAGGAGGAGTAGCATTTTGAAAGAATTTCACAGAAATTTCTATTTTTAGTAACAATGCCAACACCGTTCGTTGAAATCAAAAACCGATACACAGAATTATGTATCTTAGTGTAGTCTACTTGTGTGCCAAGTTATATTGAAGTCAGACCAAAACTGTAGGAGGAGTAGCATTTTGAAAGAATTTCACAGAAATTTCTATTTTTAGTAACAACGCCAACGTCGTTCGTCGAAATCAAAAACCGATACACAGAATTATGTAACTTAGTGTAGTCTATTTGTTTGCCAAGTTATATTGAAATCATACCAAAACTGTAGGAGGAGTAGCATTTTGAAAGAATTTCACAGAAATTTCTATTTTTAGTAACAACGCCAACATCGTTTGTTGAAATCAAAAACCGATACACAGAATTATGTACTGTAAATAACTTTTTATTCGCGAGAACTTTATTTTCGCGCAATTACGCGAGATGGTATGCTCGCGAAAATTTCATTCTCGCGTATAATAGAATTTCTTAAGATTATATAGAGCAACAAACACAATTCGTGAATATTTTGTCTCGCTGATAAAGAGTCAATGACTATCTCGCGAAAATAAGGTGTCGCGAAAATTAAGTGATCTACAGTATCTTAGTGTAGTCTACTTGTGTGCCAAGTTATATTGAAATCAGATCAAAACTGTAGGAGGAGTAGCATTTTGAAAAATTGTTTACAGACAGACAGACAGACGGACAGACGGACGGACGCCGGACGCATTACTATCGCATAAGCTCTTCTGGTCTCTGACCAGTAGAGCTAAAAAAATTCATTCTTTGCACTGTAAATTTATACCCTTATTCGGACCTTATATCCCAAACGGGCTGTTATATCCCATATGGGCGAGTGGTTCCAACCTGTATATCATATCCTAAATGTTAATGAGTTGAAAATTACTGATGCTCCCAAACTTTCTTGTGAAGAACCAAACAATTTAGAGGGCGAAATAACCTTGTTAGGAGCCTCAAATAGTCTTTATACTATGAAGGCTAACAAATCTCCAGGATCTGATGGTTTTTCCACAGAGTTTTTAAAAATGTTTTGGAAATATATTGGGCATTTTGTTGTAAGATCTATTAACTATGGTTACAGGAATGATATTATGTCTATTACGCAAAGACATGGAGTTATAACATTATTACCTAAAGGCGACAAGCCAAGACATTGCATTAAAAACTGGCGTCCTATTACATTGCTAAATACTGTATACAAAACAGCATCTGGCCCAGTTGCAAATCGATTTAAAAAATATTTAAATAAAATAATCAACTCTGACCAAACTGGTTTTATCTCTAACAGATATATTGGAGAAAACATAGGATTGATATATGATGTAATGCACTTTACAGAAGAAGAAGATATTCCAGGAATTTTATTATTAATCGATTTTGAAAAAGCTTTTGATTCTCTTTCCTGGAACTTCATACAAAAAACATTGCACTTATTTAATTTTGGCCCTTCCATTAGAATATGGGCCACTTTTTTCTACACTGATATTAAAGCTACGGTTAATCAAGGAGGTAACTTTTCTGATGTAATTAAAATTCAAAGGGGATGCAGACAAGGAGACCCTTTGTCTCCATATATATTTCTGATATGCGCTGAGATTTTAGCTATACAAATTAGGAAAAATAAAAGGTATTGCCAATGGAAATGTAGATAAAAAGATATCTCAACTGGAGGATGACACTTCTCTTATTCTTGATGGAAGTGAGGAGTCTCATTTAGAAACACTGAAAACTTTGAACACTTTTTCGGATATGTCTGGATTATGTATTAATTACTCAAAAACACACACTGTGTGGATTGGATCCACAAAATACAGTGATGAGATTTTAATCCTAAATTACCAACTTAATTGGGGAACAACTATATTTACTTTGTTAGGAATAAATTTTGATGTTGACTTAGAAAAAGTGCCTGAAATAAATTACCAACCAAAGCTATAGTGCAAATCAAATCCATTCTTAGTCAATGGAGAAAAAGGTTTTTAACACCAATAGGAAAAATTACTGTTATAAAGACTTTGGCTTTACCGATATAAAATCATTTTACTAATGTCAATCCCAAATCCAACTAATGTTTATTGTAAAGAATTAGAAAAACTCTTATTTCTCATTCTTATGGAATAATTCAACACACAGAATTAAGAAAGATGTCATTGTTAAAAGCTATGAAGATGGAGGACTGAAAATGATGAATTTATATTCTTTCATTGCTTCATTGAAATTATTTTGATTTAGACATCTGGTTTATACAAATAAAGGGTGGGAAAATTTCATAAAAAATATGAACATGTATAAATTTACATCCGGTGGAATTGAATACATCATTCTACTTATAAAAAACAAAAAATAAATTCTGGATTGATGTGTTCAAGTTCCTGGATTGATTTGGATAAAATTTGTTGTAATTCTGATGTAAATGTGGACTGTCCATTGTTTTATAACCCTAATATACATATTGGAGGGAAAACCTTTTGTAGTAAAAAACTTTTTGACAATAATATTAGATATATTAATGATATCATTGGAGTAGATGGTACTTTTTATAGTTATGAATACTTTTGCAATGCTTATCCAGATGTAAAGATTAATTTTTTAGAATATTCTAGTTTAATCCATGCAGTTAAAGTTTGGATAAAGAGGAGCAATTTTGAGAAAAATTTACAAAAATCAGAAAATCCTCTTATTAGATCTAATTGTTATCTGGTATCAAAATGTAAAAAATCAAAAAAATTCTATGAAATTCTATATCAAAACTCTTCCATGACAGCTGGTTTTAAGAAGTGGATTGAATTATTTGAATCAGATAGCAAGGAATCTAAAATAATCCATAAATTACCATTTAAAATTACATAAAACTGTAAACTCCAGTGGTTTCAGTACAGAATTCTAAATAAAATATTGGCAACTAATTCAATTTTATTCAAAATGAGACAGGTAGATTCTAAGCAGTGTAATTTTTGTCAAAGAGAAGTAAAGACAATTGAACATATCCTATGGGAATGTGACCTTGTACAATTACTCCTTGAAAATTTTGAATATCATCTTTAGCAGAGAAACCTCTAGTTGCCCATAACAAAAAAAATATTTATTTTAGGCATTAAAGGAAAAAATAATGAAATAGCGAATATAATAATTTTATGGCTAAAATATTATATCTATACTTCTAGATGTACCGAAAAACCTCTAAATGTGCACTCGGCAATATCACACTTGAATCAATTTTACCAAGCACAAAAATATATATCATAAAAATGATGAAAAAGAAAAATTTGACACTCAGTAGAACGGGTGGAACCAACTTTTCTTGTAATTCTCTCTATCCCCGCTCCCCCCTCTCTCTTATATGTAAAAACACACAATTATGACATAACGATTAATTATGAATGTTCCGTATGAAATGAATTGTGTTTAAAAAAAATAAATAATAGAAAAAAATCCTAAATGTTGCTTTTAAAAGGACACATGTATTTCGTATAATACTTTGAAGATTAATCATGAATTCTATGTTTTGATATACAATTAAAAGGCAAAAAGTTTAGCCTTGGTGGAAATCATTCTCCAACATGCAGAAAACCAAAGCGACAAAGTTCAACTCCTTATCGAGAAGTGTTCGGTGGGAAAACTTGCAGATGCGGAACGAACACGGCAATTACTTAAACTGGAGAAAGATACAGGTAAAAATATAATACTCATGCTTTTTATGTCAATATTTTGATTCCCATATAAGTATATGCTTATAAACAGGAGAAAGAGGTGTAAAATATGGCATAACTAATCACTTTTAAAGAAGATGGGTGAATTAGGCGGACAGAATGCCTATAGCGTCAGATATTAAGAAATTATATTCAATATGTGAATTGAGTAATTAAGTTAGCTTCTAATTATTGAAATTTTTGAAATTATGAGGAAAAAAAACTTTTTGTAGAGAAAAAAAAATCTCGTAAAAATGTTTTTTTTTTCATAAAATTATTAGATGGTACATGTATTCGTGTGTTTCGAACCCTAGCAATAAAAATCCGACGTATCAATAGCATTCTGCTTTGAGACTAGCGCGTTAACCACTATGCTACATCACTCATCGTGAATTTAGGCATTTAAATCATGTTTGTGATATGACTCGCGACTTAATGGACTTGAAGTATTTCTCGGAAAGATGCTAATGTTATGTCATAAAAGTGTACTTTTAAGGTATAGTGGGTCTTCGCTCCATGTGTTTTTGTAAACCAAAAATGTGTATTTTATTGCACACTTTTTGGATCATCTTTCAAAAAAATGGAGAGAAGACCCACCCATATTGAAAAATGTTGTTTAAGTATGAGAAAATGATAGTTTTTGTTCTTTTTAGTGTGTGTAAGCTTTTTCTTAGGCAAATATTTTCAGTCTTTGTGAGATTTTTGTAAATTGTAGAGATTTTACATAAAATATACTTTAATATTAGATGAAATATCAAATAAAATTTGGATTTAATTGAGATTAAATTTTTCACTTCTTATCTGTCGCACTATAGGCACTTCGCCCGCCTTATTCACCCATCGTCTTTGGAACTGCGTTTGATGAAATGACCTATTGATCAAGTTTGTGGTTGGTAGATGTTATGCTTAATTAAAAGCTGATTTAATTAAGCGTCACGCTTTTTAAAATATGACAGAACATTTGTAGTCACATTGCAAAAGCACGGGTTAGAATACTAATACTCACTGTTAAAATATAAAAGCTATGGTTCTTTTTCAATTTCGTCCGTAGCCACATCGGGGCAACACAATACAATTTACAATCAAGTTCATCCAAAACTTCGGTTATATGACTTAACTATCTCTATAGTTACATGTAGCCAGTTCTTTGTGCGAACATAAGATCAATGCCTATACTAAGAATTAAAATTAATACTCTCGTTTAAATACTCTAATTTTCAAGTTTTTACACGTGATGTTATCTATCAGAATATTTATTAAAGATATGGAAGTTATAACAAATATTCACAAGTTCACAAAGATTTCCTTAGAAATTTTAATTTTCTGAGGAATTTATTTTAAAAAATGTATTGTTGTCATTTAGAATTACTCCAGAAAAGCGCCTGTTGCTGCGGCTTAGCTTTACAGTGCCTTAATGTCAAATATGCAAATGAGGAGAAACTATATAGTATCTGGAAAAAATTATGCAGCGACCTCCAGGAAAACGGTAAGTAGTACAAAGTACTTTTTAAAAGAAAATTACGAATTTTTTAAGCCTTTTTCATTTTCTCTAGGAAATCCCTTTTTTCAGGACACTGTAAAGATTGGCTTTTTACTCAAGAAGTTTTGAAAAATTCCAGTGACGTCATCAAGAATGTAAGCTGATCAGCTGCTGAGCTTTTGAAATTATAGAACCAATGTTAATATTTCTTGAAAATAAGTGAAAATTTGAACGTTTTTTTCAGGCTAAACGAATGCGACGACGTGTTCAGAGGGGGGTTTCCTATAACGAGAGAGGGGCTACTCATTATCAATTTGTCGCCATTTCCAGTTCCAATTTTGTGGACCGCGGTTTCAGGATTTTGCTAGACGAAGTGGATGTGGCAAAATTTGCGAAAGAAAAATGAACTGGTGGACGGCATTTTGTGCAATACTGCCTGGATTGCAATTCGGATATACCAGTTGGATATACCAATCAGATAGAAGAAGGGTGTCTGTTATTTTGCTTGCAAATGTGAATCGAAGGTTCAAGTTATCTTTTCTGATCAAATGTTGTCCCTTATCTGTCTGTCCATCCGTATTTCAACTTTTGAAATCAGATCCACCAATTAAACTTAACATGGGGTATACTTGGGTAAAGGGGGGTTTAGTATATAAGTTTCTTCAAATAAATGCCAAATCCTCAAGCAGCCTTGATTTATCCTTTAAAACGGATCAGCATTTTTTAGATCATAACACCTGAAGACTAGGATGAGGCTACGAGGGTGTGGGGGTGGGCTTTCCATTGAGATTTAAAGGGGTCAGGTCTATTGAAGAACAGTTTTTCTAACGAAGAACATCAGGACCAAGGTGATTCAGGAGCATGAGCGTTGTGATCATGTTCCTCATTACTATGAAAATTTTTTTGTCGTAAATGTATAAATTTGGCACAATATTGATTACGCAATTCATAAAGGGAAAACAAAATAATTTGACTTTTAAAAGATGAATTTTTTTATTTTACTATCATTTAATACCTCAAAAAATAAAGCAAAGAAATAAGAACAACAGACATTAAGTACACAGACTAAACAGTACACACACATATAGATCATTGAGCATTCTTGTAGCTTCGACGTTTTCTTCCTAAAAACCAGCCACCTCCCGTTGACCGCCTTTTCAATGTGATATTGAATTGGAAGCAGCCAAGTTGAATTCCTGTGCTTGGATGTAAAACTGTTGCTTTGATGGTATAGTCACCCTACCGAAAAAAAGCATTGCAAAAAAAAATCGTTTAGCATTTCTCTTTTCTTTTTCTTTTAATTTTAAAGCAGGAAATTACATGTATATTGAAAAATCATATCTTACATCGGCAATGAAATTAAGAGCAGGGTCCAGCTCGGCGATGTCGATTTTGTAATTAGCAATGGTTATATTCTGGACGGAGATAGGACAGTGTGTGAAGACCCCCACGGACTCGAACATCTTCTTTATCTGTTGCCCTAAGTCTCGTTGTCCCTGTCGGGTTCCATTGAGCATATTGTCAATGACAGAACACCCATCAAGGACGCTGCACAAAATCGCAAAGATACAATTTTAGCAACTGTAGTTGTCAAAAGAATAGAAATTTAAACGCAAGATTAAAAAACAAAACCACTGAGTTATCTGAATTCTTATTTTGCAAGCTAAGCAAATTAATACCCAGTACACAAAAGGCAAAATTATAAAGACAAAATTATGAAAAGTAAAAACAAGAACAACAGAAAACACTTTTTAGAAAATACTAGTAACAGATGTTGAATATAGACGTACCAGCTTCCCAGCCCTCCTATGCAAGGAATATGTACATCGGCGCCTAGAGCGGTATGTCGGGTAATGTCGAACTGAAGTGCTGCTCCCGCTTCTATTTGTTTGAGGACAGAGGCTGTGAAGGAAATGTGGAGTGGCCCGGGGGTCATGACTGGAGTAGGATTCACAGAAACGGTGTGGACCTTCAGTGCCTGGTGAGCTGTATCAGTGGCTATTAGTGTAGGAGAAAAATGAAGTGTTTGAACTGTATATTTCTTTGGCAGATGGGAAAGACTTACTTATTGATCAGATAAAGAGAAAATATAAGTACGACAAGACTTTGTTGAATGAAACACTTCCAAAGATTCATACAAAACCATAAAAATTGTGTGAATGTCTAAACACAAGTGAATGAAAAACTACGTTTCTGTAGATTTCATTGAGAACGGGATTTACCCCTCATCACTTCAACAATACAAGGTTCACTTCTATTCTCTTACATTATAATGATAAGACGGACTGCATAATGATTTAGTTTTTTTTAATATTGCAATAAAAAAATCAGTAAAATTAATATCTTCTCTTAAAAGAAGGTCCAACATATATTTAACACATCCTATGTCTTCTCATTAGTTCTAAAAAATGTATACGATCCAATCAAAAGAATATTTTAAGATAATTATAGAAAGAAAACATCCACAGTAAATATGCCAATACTTACTGCAGCTCTTCCATTCAAAAGTGTTGTACTCCGCATCCACCAGCCATACAGACAGACAGACCACGACAAATAGACGGACATGCATGTTGGATCAGATCTATGAGGAATCTACTGCAGAAGTGGGGTATATTACTTAACTTTGTTCTTTTTATACCCACGGTATAGCATTGAAGAGTGTTAAATATTTTAGTTGCTATTTTAGATTCTTAATCAGAATTGAACTTTGAAAAGCAAGAAACATGCAGAAAAATAGTGAAGAAGCATTCCTCCAATGAAAGTTCAATGTTCATTTGTATGATAACAGAGGCACCTTAAGGATTTATGGTGATATGTATTTTAAATATTCCTCTTAATCACTCTTCCGTAGAATTAAGAAACTTTTTTGCTAGCATTAGAGGTGTATGATGAAAGGGTATTATAGCAGAAGTAATCATCAAATCAAATTAACAAATGTTCCGATTCCTTGCGAGTTCCAGCAATCCCTCAAGACACTGGGATGGCACAAAGTCCAGAGTATTGATGTACCTTAAAATCAAGGTTATCGATTATAAAGTTCCGTATTTTGTAGCCCAGATGACGAAGAAGGACAGTATTTGCACCTCTCTGATGTGGTTCAAGGTACCCGAATTCGATTTATAACACTGGGATAACGCGGATTCATCTCGACAAAAAATCTTCAACAAATTGTAAAGCCATTACTTAGAGTACAAACTGAATAAACACGTTCATACGAGGAAGAATATTGCCATTCTGTTTAAGCAAAGGAAAAGAGGCAAGATGAATGTCTTGGTTCAATATCGTATACTGTAGAAGTACTTTTTTCCGCGTGGTATTAGTTTACACTATGTACGCGGTAACAAATTTTCCGCGGGTACAAGCGTATATATAAATCACCCGCGGATTAAACAGAAATTGAGATTCCGCGGAAATATGACCCCGTGGGAAAAAGTACGTCTATAGTAGTATTACATTGAATATCTATGGTATATATAAATCAATACAGTGTCCAATGCTGTGTAGAATCTAATTTAAACCCAGTTTTATAGGGATATGACTACAACAAAGTTAACATGTACAAACATTAAAATTCAGATACTCGGTTATAACATTTCAAGAAGATGTACTAGTAATTCTGTATGTCAATACTAATCTCATATTATATAAATCGCCAAATAAACTCGAAAAATTTAATATATCTTTAATTACTAGGAGAAATCATTACTAGGAGAAATCATTCATTTGATATGCACTACAATTTAATTGAGAATTGATCTATTCAAATACTAGTTCATATTTATAATTACATACTTAATATATTGTTAATAATCATCTAAAAATCCTTTTGACATGTATATAACAAATCACCAGAATTTTTTTATCGGTGTATAAAATTAAAATTGGATGCATAAAAGTATGGGACTTCCTTAATAAATGATCTCTCAATTGAGATCTTGCTCGCTTCAAAAGAAGTGATGCGCATGTTAATTCAATTAAAAGTATTTTTGAATAATATCTTAAAAGTGATCAAGATGTTTTTGTAAAACACTGATACCATCGAATGGTAGCTTATGGTTTTTCCGAGTTTCTCAAATGCAAGTCATACTCTAAAGTCCTGGTCAAGAGATGAAAATGTTGTCCTCCCAGAAAAGGACTTGTCTCAATGAACATGTATACGTGGAATATGAAAGCCTAAGAATCAAACATGCATCAGTAATGGCCAAAGTTATTCTATTTAAATGGGTCATACTCAAAGGTCAACTTTGAAAATTTTAAACTTAGCCATAACTATTGACCAGTTTGTACTAAAAGTCTAAGACCTTCCTCTGGATACCAAAACATTTACTCACTTTTGAAAAACTTTATCCTTGATCATTAATTTAAAACAATTGATGCTTAGGTTCTTGAATTTATTGTGAAAAGATTTTACACTGTGTACAGTAAATTTGCTTACCCTTTGACTTTGACCAAAACTTTAGCTTTGCCATGACTGTTGAACTGTTTGTGCTTTGTATGTTCATTGAAACAAGTCCTTTTTGGGGTCAAAACATTTCTTCATGTGTTGATTTTGCCCTTGGCCGTAAAATTTGACCTACTTTAGAAAAACATTAGATTTAAACATAACATTGATTGGTGCTAACTTTTGCCAATACTTTTCATTGATTGTCACAGATAAAAAAAACTGTTATAAGTATTCCTTTTTGTCATGGCTTTTGAACGATTAATGCAAGGGTTTTATTTTTTCATAATTATTTTCTTGTGTCAACAGTTTCTTTTTCTGGGTACCTTGGAGTATAATTTGTATTTGAGAAACTTTACCTTTGCTAGGAACTGTCATAGTCTACAATTCGTAAAGTTTCAGTCACATTATCCAGCGATGGGGTATACGATGAGAAACCGATGCGTTTTTTGATAAAAATGACGTGGTTGCCGGCCGGACATCTATAGTAATCGCATGGTGACTGAGTCCATTTGTCGAATCGGTGGGGGTCATCGGTAGAAAATAAGTTGTAATTAAAAATCAGCGATGTCTCCACCGATGCCCCACATCGCTCCTCATCGGCAACCCATCATTAACACATCTTTCAAGGATTGGCCGATGTATGGCCGAACATCGTCAATTGCCCGATGAATCTGAGGCCATCGGGGGTTGAGTGGTGGGCAACAGACATCGACCGATTGATTGATTGATTGTATATTCTCAACGTCCCGTTGAGAATCTTTCACTCATATGGAGACGTCACCGTATGCCGGTGAAGGGCTTATAAATTGAACAATTTAGACCTATACTCGGCACTCAGCAGTCAGTGTTCTTTATCGTGCCAACGCCTACCGTGACACAGGACCTACGTTTTTAAGGTCATATCCGAAAGAACCGTGACTTTCACTTATAGTCCCGAGCGCTTGGCGAAGGAACAGTCACTACCTTTGTTTACGTCCTAGGTATGACGCGGCACCGCGAACGAGAATCGAACCCGGACCTCCCAATCACGAAGCGAACGCTCTACCACTAGTTTACCGTGAACAGTGACATCGGCCGTTTTCCTGTCGATGTTCGACCAAACATGTTTCCCACTATCGTTGATGCCCTGGCATACTATACTAATTAGACAGTGATTCCTTAAATAATTTGAGCTTGCAGCATGGTCCTGAATCTATTTCCTTTTACCCTTGAGAGATTTCAATGTGTAATCATTATCCATTAAAAATCACTTCATATTATGTAAAGTAAATCACACATAGCAGGAAAACAAAATGTTGTACTGGTTTATTTGTAATATAAATCATACAGCAACTTGAAAATTACCTTTAGTTTTGTAAAAATGCTCTGTTAATTTCTAAAACAGTGATTATTCTTAAGCTGAAAATGATTTTGCTCATAAATTGTTGAGCAAATGGACTTGTAAAACTTTGCAGTTGAATAACTTATTTACTTGTGTTTTTTTTTTAAATCGCAAAATATTGATTTGTAAAAGATAATTGTTTCGCATTGAGATTTGTAAACGATGATTTGATAGGATGGCTCAAGATTATGGCCATCATTTTCTAAAAATCCACACATAAAAGAAAAAAAAAGCTTTAAAATATGATGCCCTGATATATTATACGTGTCAAGAAAGTTGATGTAAAAAACATTTTGTCAAGTTCATCTGGCTTAACACACCACAGTTTATACTGACATTTCTTTGGGTGACACAAAAATTCAGAGGTTTAAAAATTTAACATGAACATGTGATCAGGTGTAAAGTAAACTATAGATGGCACTCATTAATGAAAGATTATCATACTGTGATCAAATAGTCCCTGACCTGACATGTTTTTATATCATATAATGAATTTCAAAGCATATGATGGATGGTAAACAATAGGGCACAAAAAACGAGATGTGTTTGTGAAACACTCATGTGGACACAAGTCAGCTCAAGACCAAGGGCAAGGTTGAAATTCTTAAAATATAGGATAGACCGCAAGGTCTAGATTTTTTAAAAGACGTTTTGTTACACGAAATACACTGGTGAATTATTCCTGAAATCCCAGCACCAAGCGTTCAGAAAATAAGTGAAAATATTTTTTTTCATAAGAAGGTCACCCCAAAGTTAAATAAAAAAAAAATGGTTCCAAAAGTTAATGTCTTAATTAGTTATCGCAAGGAATGCATACGTGAAATAGCACGAACTGTTCAAATATTTCAAGAAAGGTTAAAGTTTTTTTTATTTAAGTCAAACTGAAAGGAATATGTCAAGACTAACTATAATGCCTTAGTCACATTTCTCGGCCGGTGGCCGTAGACCGGTGGTAATCGGCGTCTGTGGTGTGAACGATGCCCCAACATCAGTACACATCGGCTTAGTATAGTCCTTAAAGTATCATTCACATTATCCGCCGATGGGGTATACGATGCTATCCAATCCGTTTTTTTAATAAAAATGACGTGGTTGCCGGTCGGACTTACAAAGGCCGAGCGACGCATTGCTAATCATAAAACGACGTTCCAGGGTAATCGGCCGATGTATACTGTATACAGGGAAATTTTCGCCCCCGTTTTATTTTCGCCCCCTTCGACCTCTCCTTGATTGGGCGAATTTAAAACGGGTCGAATTCAAATTACACCTCATATAATTTCCTAAACAGAACTATGACTGGGCGAATTTAAAACAAGGCAAAAGTGTTAACATATGTTCAAAAGGGCGAAAATAACACGGGGCGAAAATAGCCCTGTATACAGTATTACATCGTTTATACATTGTTGAACATAGTTCGTACATCGATCGACTATGGGCCAACGTTTGGTCGAAGATCGACCGATGATCGGCCGATGTCTGTTGCCCACCACTCACCCCCCCCCCCACCCCCTGATGACCTAAGATTCATTGAACACTAAGTCTTGGCGGTACTCAGCCATACATCATACATGTACATCGGCCAATCCTTGAAAGATGTGTTGATGATGGGTTGCCGATGAGAAGCGATGTGGAGCATCAGTGGAGACATCGATGATTTTTAACTGCAACTTATTTTCTACAAATGACCACCACCGATTTGATGACTAATGCCTTAGTCATATTTCCCGCTCGATGGCCGTAGACCAGTGGTAATCGGTGGTAAACCGTGGTGTGAGCGGCGCCCCAACATCGGTCCAC